AAATTCGCAAATTAAATCTTCAAATACTCGAAAAACCAAATCTTCAAAATCCGTAAATATCCAGATCTTTAAAACAGCAAATCGGCAATATCATTAAATTCTCAAAATCCTCAATCTTCAAGATCCCCAATCAGCAAATCATTAAAATCTTCAAATCACCAAATCCTCAAAATCGTCAAAAATCCCAGATCCTCAAATCATTAATTCCCCAAAATACTCAAATTACCAAATCTTCAAAATCTTCAAAACGCCAAATCCTCCCAAGATCCAATCATCAACATCGTCGGATCCTCAAATTGTCAAGTCCTAAAAATCCTCGAAATTCTCATATCGTCCAAATATTCAAACCCTTAAAATCACCATATCTTTAAAATCCTCAAAACACAAAATCGTCAAATCATCAAATCTCCAAATCCTGAAATTTTCACATTTCTAAAATTCTCGAAAACCCAAAATGCTCAAAATCTTCAAATTCGCAAAACACAAAATCATTAAAATACCAAATCCTCAAATTCTTCAATTTTTCAAAATTCCCAAATCCTCAAAATCCGCAAATCACCAACTCCTCCAAATAAAATCATTAAATCCTCAAATCACCAAATCCTCAAATCTTCAAAATTCCCGAATCAGCAAGTCCTAAAATTCCTGAAAATCGTCAAATCCTCAAAAGCGTCAAAAATTTCAGATCCTCAAATCAGTAAATCTTCAAAATACTCAAATTACCAAATCTTCAAAATCTCCAAAACGCCAAATCCTCACAACATCAAATCATCAACATTGTCGGATCCTCAAACTGTCAAATCCTAAAAATCCTCGAATCACCAAATCCTCAAAATTCTCATATCCTCCAAATATTCAAATCCTTAAAATCCTCAAATCCGCAAATCAAATATTCAAATATCCAAAACACAAAATCCTCAAATCACCAAATTTTTGAAATCTTAAAATCCTCACATTACTAAAATTCTCGAAAGCCTAAATGCTCAAATTTTATAAATCCTCAAAATCCCCAAATCGTCAAAATTCGCAAATCACCAACTCCTCTAAACAAAATCATCAGATCCTCAAATCTGCAAAATCCCCAAATCAGCAAATCCTAAAAATCCTGAAAATCGTCAAATTACCAAATTCTTGGAATCCCCAAAGCCTTCAAATCCTCATATGTATATTCAAATCACACTCCTCGAAATCCTTAAATCCCCAAAACTCTCAAAACCCTCAAATCAAAATCTTCAAATCACCAAATCCTCAAAATCGTCAAGAATCTCAGATTCTCAAATCATTAAATCACCAAAATACTCAAATTACCAAATCTTCAAAATCTTCAAAAGGTCAAATTCTCAGAACATCAAATCATCATATCGAATCAAATCTTCAAATCCCCAAAACACAAAATCCTCAAATCACCAAATATTCAAATCCTGAAATTTTCACATTACTAAAATTCTCGAAAGCCCAAATGCTCAAATTCTTCAAATCCTCAAAACTCTGAGGAAACCAAATCTTCCAAATTTTAAATCCTTAAAACACCAAAATCTTCAAACCCTTCAAATCTTCAAAATCCCCAAATCGTCAAAATTCGCAAATCACCAACTCCTCCAAACAAAATCATCAGATCCTCAAATCTGCAAAATCCCCAAATCAGCAAATACTAAAAATCCTGAAAATCGTCAAATTACCAAATCCTTAGAATCCCCAAAACCTTCAAATCCTCATCCTGAATCACCAGTCCTCCCAACATCAAATCATCAAAATCCTCGCATCCTCAAATCGTCAAATCCTAAAAATCCTCAAATCACCAAATCCTTAAAACCACCGAAACTTTCAACTCGTTAAAATCAACAAATCACCTAATCCTCAAAACATTCAAAAACTCAGAACACAAAACCCTCAAAGTCTTAAAACCCTCAATACACCAAATTGACGATTTGAGGATTCGAGGATTTTGATGATTTGATGCTGTGAGGATTTGGTGTTTTGAAAATTTTGAGGATTTGAATAATTGGAGGATTTGAGGATTTCGAGGATTTGGCGATTTTAGGTTGAGGATTTGGAGCCATCGAATCATCAACCTAAAATCGCCAACTCCTCGAAATTCTCAAATCCTCCAAATATTCAATTCTTTTTTTCATTAAATTAAGAACCATTTCTAGAAAATGTGAGAACAGTTACGTCATATTCCAAACGTTTCTTCCATTGCGGCTTAATTAATAATTTTAGTTCACTGTTTTGAGGAGAAAACTCATTCAAATTAAACAAACTTCTACGTAACATTCTTTCGATGTATAAACATAAACAACCGAAGTTAAGCATGTACACTGATAATAACCCATTCTTTACCGTTGGTTATTTGCTTTAAATATATTTCATATTATCCGTATGTCTGCGAAAGGCATCTTCTTGGAATTTGCGACCCCTCGGCGCAGGTGGTTCGAGGTGTCATTTACACCACTGGTTTTTATTTAATATAAGTATAAAGGTTATCAACAAACACATTTTTTTTGTAATTTGTTGGACTGTACTTCAAGAGCGAGAGAAGTTCTGTCAAAGTAACCTTTGACCATTTTTACTTCCCGAGCGTAAGCAAAGGAAGTATTGTAATCGAGTCCGTCGGCCGACTCTCTACTTTTACGTTTTCTCGATCTTTCATGACCCCTAGAAGACGAAGAAATAGGTCTCCCATTTCCGTCTGTCTGTCCGTCTGTCCGTCCGTCTGACCGTCCGTCTGTCCGTCCGTCTGTCCGTCCGTCTGTCCGTCTGTCCGTCTGTTGTCCCGGATTTTTATTAGACAGATAATCTCCGAAAGTACTGGACCGATTGTTGTGAAATTTTGTACTTATATTAAGAATATCATGTAGATGGTAAAACGCTAACCAAAATTTGTCTAATCATCCCCACCACTAATGCGATGACGTCACTTCAAAATTGTACATAGTAAATGGGTTTTCAATTGTATAAAATAACATAGTCCTACACATGTAGTTTACAACTCTGAATCGACTTTTCATCCGAAACGTCCAGATTTTTGGAAAAAAAATCAAAATTATAAAACAACATTTTGAAATTTAATTTTTAATCTGCTAACCAGAATGCTTTGAAATGTTGCAGATGTTTTAAGGCTATAAAGAGCATCATAAATCTTTAGTCAAAAAATATTTGCGTATCCCCTCCAAAAACTTGATGACGTCAGCTCAAAAGTTTGTGGAATAAATCATATCTAAAATGTACAAAATATGATGAGTCTGTACTTGTGATCTATCACTCCACTCATATTTTTTGGATTTGCATATACAGGGTGATTCAAGAAAATAAATGAAAGCGTAAATTTATTTTACTGATTTACTCAGGAACTACAAAACCGAATGCTTCGAAATCTTGAAGATATTTTAAAATTATCATAAGCATGGTAAATTTTTGATCAAAACGTATTTGGTCGTCCCCCCTAAAAAATGTATGACGTCACCACAAAATTTTGCTGAATAAATCCTATCTAAAATGTACAAAATATGGTGAGTCTCTTCTTGTGATTTATCATTCCATTCAAATTTTTTCGATTTGCATATACAGAGTGACTCAAAAAAATTAATGAATGCGTAAATTTATTTTATTGATTTAATCAGGAACTACAAAACCGAATGCTTTGAAATCTTGCAGATGTTTTAAGGTTATAAAGAGCATAATAAATTTTTAGTCAAAATATATTTGGTTATCTTCTACAAAAAACTGATGACGTCAGCTGAAAAGTTTGCCGAATAAATCGTATCTAAAATGTACAAAATATGATGAGTCTGTACTTGTGATTTATCATTCCATTCATATTTTTGGATTTGCATATGCAGGGTGACTCAAAAAAATTAATGAAGGCGTGAATTTATTTTATCGATTTAATCAGGAATTAGAAAACCGAATGCTTTGAAATCTTGGGAATATTTTAAAGTTATTATAAGCATGGTAAACTTTTGTTCAAAATGTATTTGTTCATCCCTCCTAAAAAAATTGATGACGTCACCCTTAAATTTTGCTGAATAAATCCTATCTAATATGCAAAAAATATGATGAGTTTGTACTTGTGATTTATCATTCCATTCATATTTTTTAGATTTTCTTAAGAGGTGGTTCAAAAAAATTAATGAAGTCAATTTATTTTATTGATTAAATTAAAGGCAACACTTATTATTAGTATTACCCCCAACCAACCCAATTTGGTAGACACAAAATTTGTTAAAGGAAAAACTCGGTTGAAACATAAGGGTAGCACGCTTATTTACATCGACTTTAACATTACAGACCTGCATTTGTTTTATGCGCTCACTTGGTTCCGCGAATGTGAAATAGACATGTTTATAATCAACCAATTGTGAATTTCACCGTCAAGAATTAAAATAAAACCCAATATTTTAGATAATAAGCGGAACTCGAAGCAATAAAACCGATGGTCGTTTTGTTTACAGTTTCTCTGTTTGACTCTCACGTATGCTGTTACGCCTGTCATCTTAAATTAAGAATGTTTATACATACACGATTTTCAGTTGCCTCTGATACGTATACGTGAGTAAATTGTTTCGTTATTTTATTGATTATTACAAATCAATATTCAAAACGACCCAATTCATTTTCCCGAAAATTTGAGAATATAATAATTTTATTCTTAGTATTACACTACATCTATCCCAACTGATATATGTGTCCTTGCAAAAATGTTGATGACGTCATCGCAATTTTTTTTTAAATTCCCACTACAAAAATGTAATGAGAAAAAAAACACAATAGGCATGCAGTCGTCAAGTTTCCGACAGCGAGGGAAGTACTGTCTAAACTCTTTAGACCAATTTTTTTTCTCGTTGCGAAACCTTCTCAAGGGTCCCGAATGTCTTTTTTAAAAATGTAAAAGCTTCTCGGGGGATCCGATGTTGCTGCCACCAGACCGAAATCAAAACATTCAGCGTAAGGCATCCTGATCGTGGTCTAGTGGTTAAGGGTCAGGAATGGATGGTGAAATCTTTTTTAAGGAATATTAAATCTTCTATATTTAAAAAAAAAACAAATCAAAGAATGCAAACACACCGATTATTTTATCAACCACTAATCAAAAAACTCCTGCAACGAAGTCGAACCCCAAATCTTCTCCATCACATCGGTCATAATCTGCCTCACAATCTCGTCATAATCCGCCTTAGCATCGGCAAAAACCGTCCTCCAGTTGTCATTAAGCACGAAATTAAGATTATCGCCCAACTCCCTATTCCCGTTAAAAAGATTATCGTAGTCGAAGTGCACATGTTCCACGTCCGACTCCATCTGGGTGTTAACCGTCCTATAATAAGTCTGCTCGTTCTTCAAATACTTGTCAAAGGCGGCTTTATACTTCGCCCGAAATCTTTCTACAAATCGAATTGAGCAAACACCAAGCACTGTCAATAAACTCACTGAAGGTAATCGTGCTGTTGCCATCACCTCGAACTGCCAAAAGAAGAATCCGTCCGGTCATGTGGTAGCTGCATTTGAAGACCATTTGGTCGATAGTACCATCTGCCATTAAAGTATTTTTTTCCAAGTCCAACCTGAAAAAACAACGTGTTAACTCTAGTTCTAGTAGTACCGGTGAGACAAGTACTCGAAAATGTCGAATTTTATGGTGGTTAGGCCATAGACACTGCAGTCGGTGTAGTTGTGTTCTAGATTAACGGGTCCTTGCCCAGTACGTAAAACCAAAGAGGTGACTTTAAATGGGTCGAGATTTGGAATGTCCAACTGGTCGTACCGTTTTGTCAATAGAGAGGCCCCATATTGGGCGGCTTCTAGATAGCACTTGTTAAAATCAGGGTCTTTTCTAAGGCATCGTTTGAAGTTTGGGGCTGCAACTATAGGTAAGAACAAAAAATAACGCATAGTGGTGAAAACTTACGCACTGAGGCGTACCCTAGCGTTAGTACCAAAGCAACTACAACGAGTTTCATTCTAAAATAGCTTAAATTCGTCAACGAGTGTTTTTATAGCGACAAATAAATTACTAAATTATCGTTTTTATTATTTTGTCAATACAGGTACTTCACAGTCAATAACAGTATTCAAACAATAATATTGGTACTGGTCCTTGGTGGCCTCTAAATAAATACTGTTTATAGGTATTAGTGTGTCGAATTTAGTCGAAAAATTCCTCCAACGAGACGTTGTCCCAAATCTTCGTCATTATATCGGTGAGTATCCGTCGTACCACCTCGTTATAATCGGGGTACAGCTCGTCGAAAATTTGTTTCCAGTTGTCGTTCAGTACGCTGTTGATATTATCCCCGAGTTCCTTATTCCCGTTGAAGAGATTATCAAACTGGAAGTGCATATTCCCGGTACGGGACACCAGCTCGGTACGACCTGTCTTGTAATAAGTTTTGGCTCCTTTGGTAACCTCTTCAAAAGAGGCGTTAAAAACGGCCCGGAAATCACCTAAAAACGTCCTAAAATGTCAATATCACCCAGAATTAATAACTTACTGAACGTGATGAGACTGTCGCCTTCGCCTTGAATCGTCAGAAGTAGTACCTTCCCGTCTAACTTGTACTCACACTCGAACACCAATTTCTTAATCCCAGCCACGATATCCAACGTTTTGTTAGTGAAATTTAACCTACAATATTCGTGTTGTAGCAAAAATTGTCTGCGGTCTCGGTACTCACTCAAACTTATCCAACTTCATCGTCGTCAATCCGTGTACTTTGCAATTTTTGAACGTCTGGTCCACGTCCACCACGCCCCCTCGACCCGCTATAGTCAGCGAAGGTACCAACAAAGGTTCCAGGTTGGGCAAATCGAAAGCCTTGTAGGGTTTGGTCAGTTGGGTTATACCAAACTGGGCAGCTTTGATGTAGCACTTTTTGAATTCTGGGTCTTTACGAAGGCACCGTTTGAAATTGGGGGCTGAAATGAACACAGTAGAGGGGTTTTTGGTGGAACGACTACTTACGAACTGAGCACTGGGTAGTGGTGACTGCAATCAAAAAAATTAGGAGCTTCATTGTAGTACTGTTGGTACCTTTCTAAAACTTGACTTAAATTCGAAATTGGTGTCGATTTATATGGGTGGTATGACAAGGTTTTCGAGTAAGTACGTAAAGAACTAAACCCGTTTGAGCTGTGTCGGTCAGGGTCAGCCACCAATGTCACTTGATGCAGACATCTGGGACCCCAAAAACGTCGACGTGTGCAAATTTACTCAATATAAACACTGTTGGGTTTTGGTCATAAATGGTTTAATTGTTTTCAGATTTTGCCGGACTTTGACTCCATAGGTACTTGTTTGTTGTTGTTGCATAGATGGAGGTTGGAATTTTCCTTGGACTCTTAGACAGGTCATTAATTCATACATCGCTATTTTAATATTTGGCTAAGAAGGTCGGATCAGGTGTAAAGTTCTAAGAATAAGAACAAAAATAATAATAATGAAATTAAATTCGAAGCGACTGCCACTCATTTACATTAATTTTAATTTTAATTAAACCGCTGATCCAAGGTCAAAATATGAACCGTATAATTTCCTTAAACAAAAACATGCGTAAATATGCGTTACAACAATATATTTCTTCCTATTTTCTCAACATCTGTTTTTTTGCAAGGTGATCAGTCCCCTCGTTTTTCCTAAAAAACTACTTTGTAAAACCCGTCTATAAAAGCGGACTTTTTCGTCCGCCCGCTCTTAAAACCGACCCATCATGCGAACATTGCTCACCTTCGTACCACTGCTGGTACTCAGCACCGCTGCCAAAATACGTACGTGTTCAAAGTCACCCCAGTTCAAGTGTTCATAGTGCTCTTCCAGCCCCCAACTTCCACAAGTGCAACCGGAACAGCCCGGATTTCCAAACCTGTCTGTTACAGTCCGCCAGAAAGGGGATACTGGAGTTGGTTAGACCCTACCCGGAACTGACCATCCCCAGCCTGGACCCTTTCGAGCTCCCGGAAGCCACCATCGGAGGGACCGAGGGACCAGTGAACATCCAGCAAAAGTTCAAAAAGTGCAAGTTCTACGGACTGCCGAAGTTGCAAGTGGACGATTTCGAGTGAGTGTGCGGTTTTTTTCGTCCTGGACCAAATTTTGTCGTTTTGTAGATTCAGTTTTCAGGAGAAGTGGGCCAAATTGAGTGGGGTGTTCCCCGAAATCCAAATGCTGTGCGACTACGAGATGAAAGGGCAGGTTTTGGTGGTACCGGTTGATGGAAAAGGCAACAGCACGATTATTCTGAGTACTTACGTTTTTGGGTTTTTTTGATTTTTGTGACGAGGTGTTTTGTAGAGAATGTTAAAGTCTGGGATGTTCTTTCGTACGAGGAAACGAAGAAGAAGGGGAAGACGTACCCGAGGTTTAAGACCAGTTCGCTGAAGATTGATCCGGAGTTGGTGGTTTTTGATTTTGAGAGTCGGGTTGATAAGGCTTTCACTGATAATCTTAATTTGGTTTTGAATGATAACTGGAAGGCGATTTTTGGGGATGTTAAAGGGAGTTATGAGCAGATGTTCGACCAGATTGTCTTGAGTGTGGTTAATAGTTTTTTCACGAAAGTGACGTTGGAAGAGGCTTTTGATAGTGCGTGACCACCCAGAAGACCTGGAAGTCATAAAATGTGATACATTTTTTAAATAGATTGTAAAATTATTTTGAGTGTCTATTATTTGTAAAACCAATGTCTGTTTTTATTTGCTTTCAGACTTTTCTTTTTTGCGTTCTTCAAGCTTGTACATTTTTATCATTTTTTTTTCTGTTGTCAGTTTGACTATAGTTTTCGTACTTCACATAATATCGCTTACTTGTGATGATACTTACTCATAAAAATATTGTAACCACTTTTTCTACGTTGAATATTTTACCATAAACTATTTGAATACATTTTAATATTAACAGTTTTATGGTGGTGGAAGTTGTTATATATGACGCAAACAAATTCAAAATGAATATGCTTAAAGTTGCTGATTAATGGCGAAAAAAAATTCCAGTTGTTTTTTTTTTTAAGTAATTTACGACCCCTTTGTTTTGAAGTAGTTTGAAAGAATCTTGGGGACTCCCTGTGGATCCCATTTTTGGAGTAATTTAAAAGAATATCGGGGTATATTGTATTTTGTTTTTTAACTAATTTAAAAGAATTTCCAGGACCGCTTGTATTTCGTTTTTGAAGTAATGTGAAAGAATTTCAGAGACCCTTTAAATTTGGTTTTTGAAGTAGTTTGAGGGAATCTTGGTGGTCCCTTTTGTATTGTTTTTGAAGGAGCTTGAAATAATCTCGGGAATTCCGCGTTGTTCTTGTTTTTGAAGTAATTTCAATTAATCTCGGGGATCACTTGAGGTTTGTTTTTGAAGTAATTTGACAGAATCTCTGGGGCACCTTGTGTTTTGTTTTTGAAGTAGTTTGAAAGAATCTCGTGGACAACTTATATATTGTTTTTGAAGTAACCTGAAAAAATTTCAGAAACCCTTTAAGTTTTGTTTTGAAATAGTTCGAGAGAACCTCTGTATTTTGTTTTTAAAGGAGTTTGAAATAATCTCAGAACTACGTGTGATTCTTGTTTTTGAAGTAACTTCAAATAATTTCGGAGACCATTTGTGGTTAGTTTTTGAAGTAATTTGACAGAATCTCTGGGACACCTTGTGTTTTGTTTTTGAAGTAGTTTGAAAGAATCTCGTGGACAACTTATATCTTGTTTTTGAAGTAAGCTGAAAGAATTTCAGAAACCCTTTAAATTTTGTTTTGAAGTAGTTCGAGAGAACCTCTGTATTTTGTTGTTAAAGGAGTTTGAAATAATCTCAGGAACTCCGTGTGGTTCTTGTTTTTGAAGTAACTTCAAATAATCTCGGAGACCATTTGTGGTTAGTTTTTGAAGTAATTTGATAGAATCTCGTGGACACATTATGTCTTGTTTTTGAGGTAATCTGAAATAATTTCAGAGACCATTTAAGTTTTTTTTGGAAGGAGTTTGAAATAAAGTCGGAAACTTCATGTGGTTCATGTTTTTAAAGTAATTTCAAATAATCTCGGCGACTACTTGTGGTTTGTTTTTGAAGTAGTTTGATAGAATTTCTGGGACACCTTGTGTTTTGTTTTTGAAACAATTTAAAAGAATCAGCAGAAACTTTTGCGTTTTTTTGGGTAATTTGAAACATTTTCTGGGATTCTTTGTGTTTTGTTTTTGAAATCGTTTAAAAGAATCTCGGAGACCCCTTATTGGTCTTGTTTTTGAAGTAATTTGAAAGAATAACCGGGACCCCTTGTGTTTTGTTTTTAAAGTAGTTTGAAAGAATCTCTGGAACACCGTTTGTCTTGTTTTTTTTTTCGTAGTTTGAAAGAATCTCGGAAAACTCTTGTATTTTGTTTCTGAAGCACTTTAAAAGGATCTCGGCGACTTGCGTGTGTTGTTTTTGAAGTAATTTGAAAAAACCTCGAGAATTCCTCGTGTTTTTTAAGTAGTTTGAAATCATCTCGGGGATCCGGTGTATTTCCTGTTTGAAGTAGTTTGAAAGAATCTCTGGATTCCCTTGTGTTTTGTTTTTGGAGTAGTTTGAAGGATTTTCTGAGAGACCTATGCGTTTTTTTTTTAAGAAGTTTGAAAGAATCTTGGGGAGCACCTGTAGATCTTATTTTTGAAGTAACTTGAAATAATCTCGTGGATCCGTTGTGTTTTGTGTTTTAAGTTGTTTAAAATAATCGCGCGAAATTCATGTGGGTCTTGTTTTTGAAATAATTTCAAATAATCTCGGGATCCCTTGTGTTTTGTTTTTGAAATAGTTTGAAGGATTTTCGAGGGACATTTGTGTTTTTTTTTAAGAAGTTTGAAAGAATCTTGGGGAGTTCCTGTGGATCTTATTTTAGAAGTACTCGTAATTTGAAAGAATCTCGGGGACCTCTTGTGTTTATGAAGTAATTTCAAATAATCTCACTGATCCCTTGTGTTTTGTTTTTGAAGTAGTGTTTGAAGTAAAGTCGGGAACTGTGTGTGGCTCTTGTTTTTGAAGTAGTTTGAAAGAATCTCTGGAGCATTTGTGTTTTGTGTTTGAAGTTTGGAATAATCTCGGGAACTTCGTGTGGCTCTTTTTTTTGAAGTAGTTTCAAATAATCTCGGAATCCCCTTGCGTTTTGTTTTTGGACAAATATTTAAAGTATTCTCGGGAACTGTATGTGGCTCTTGTTTATGAAGTAATTTTAAATAATCTCAGGGATCCCTTGTGTTGTCTTTTTGAAGTAGTTTGAAATAATCTCGGGATCCGCTTGTGTTTTGTTTTTGAGTAGTTTGGAGGATTTTCGAAGGACCGTTGTGTTTTTTTTTTTTAAGAAGTTTGAAAGAATCTTGGGGAGTCCCTGTGGATCTTATTTTTGAAGTAACTTGAAATAATCTTGTGGATCCGATATGTTTTGTGTTTGAAGTTGTTTGAAATAATCTCGTGAACTCCATGTGGGTCTTGTTTTTGAAATAATTTCAAATAATCTCGGGATCCTCTTGTGTTTTGTTTTTGAAGTAGTGTTTGAAGTAATCTCGGGAACTGTGTGCGGCTGTTGTTTTTGAAGTAGTTTGAAATAATGTCGGGATCCGCTTGTGTTTTGTCTTTGAAATAGTTTGAAGGATTTTCGAGGGACCTTTGTGTTTTTTTTTTCAAGAAGTTTGAAAGAATCTTGGGGAGTCCCTGGGGATCTTATTTTGAAGTAATATGAAATAATCTCGTGGATCTCTTGTGTTTTGTTTTTGAAATAGTTTCAAGGATTTTCGAGGGACCTTGTGTCTTATCGTTGAAATAATTTGAAAGAATCTCTAGGACTTCTTTTGTTTCATTTTTGAAGTAGTTTGAAAGAATCTCGGGATCCACTTGTGTTTTGTTATTGAATTAGTGTGAAAGATTTTTGAGGGACCTTTGTGTTGTCTTTTTTTGAAAAAGAAGATTGAAAAAATTTTGGGGAGTCCCTGTGGATCTTATTTTTGAAGTTATTTGAAATAATCTCGCGGATCCGTTGTGTTTTTTATTTGAAGTAGTTTGAAAGAATTTCGGGAACCCTTTGCGGTTGTTGTCTTTGAAGTAATTTGAAAGAATCTCGGAGACTTCTTATGTCTTGTTGTTGAAGTAATTTGAAAGAATCTCTAGGACTTCTTTTGTTTCATTTTTGAAGTAGTTTGAAAGAATTTCGGGATCGACTTGTGTTTTGTTTTTGAATTAGTGTGAAAAATTTTTGAGGGAGCTTTGTGTTGTCTTTTTTTGAAGAAGAAGATTGAAATAATTGTGGGGAGTACCTGTGGATCTTATTTTTTTAAGTAATTTGAAATAATCTCTCGGATCCATTGTGTTTTTGATCTGAAGTAGTTTGAAAGAATTTCGGGAACCCTTTGCGGTTGTTGTCTTTGAAGTAATTTGAAAGAATTTCGGAGACATCTTATGTCTTGTTGTTGAAGTATTTTGAAAACATCTCTAGGACTTCTTTTTTTCATTTTTGAAGTAGTTTGAAAGAATTTCGGGATCCACTTGTGTTTTGTTTTTGAATTAGTGTGAAAGATTTTTGAGGGACCTTTGTGTTGTCTTTTTTTGAAAAAGAAGATCGAAAAAATTTTGGGGAGTCCCTGTGGATCTTATTTTTGGAAGTAATTTGAAATAATATCGCGGATCCGCTGTGTTTTTGATTTGAAGTAGTTTGAAAGAATTTCGGGAACCCTTTGTGGTTGTTGTCTTTGAAGTAATTTGAAAGAATCTCGGAAATTTCTTATGTCTTCTCGTTGAAATAATTTGAAAGAATCTCTAGGACTTCTTTTGTTTCATTTTTGAAGTAGATTTAAAGAATTTCGGGATCCACTTGTGTCTTGTTTTTGAAGTAGTGTGAAAGATTTTCGAGGGACCTCTGTGTTTTTTTTTTTTTTGAAGAAATTTGAAAGAATTTTAGGGAGTCCCTGTGGATCTTATTTTTTGAAGTAACTTGAAATAATTTCGCGGATACGTTGTGTTTTGTGTTTGAAGTAGTTTGAAAGAATTTCGGGAACCCTTTGTGGTTGTTGTCTTTGAAGTAATTTGAAAGAATCTCGGAAATTTCTTATGTCTTCTCGTTGAAATAATTTGAAAGAATCTCTAGGACTTCTTTTGTTTCATTTTTGAAGTAGTTTGAAAGAATCTAGGGATCCACTTGTGTTTTATTTTTGAAGTAGTGTGAAAGATTTTTGAGGAATCTTTTTGTTTTCTTTTTGAAGAAGTTTGAAAGAATCTTGGCGACTCCCTGTGGATCTTACTTTTGAAGAAATTTGAAATAATCTCGTGGATCCGTTGTGTTACGTGTTTTCGAGGGACTTTTGTGTTTTTTTTAAGAAGTTTGAAAGAATGATATGTAGTTCCTATGGATCTTATTTTTGAAGTAATTGGAAAGATTCTCGGAAACTTCTTGTGTCTTATCGTTGGAATAATTTGAAAGAATCTATAGGATTTCCTTTGTTTCATTTTTAAGTAGTTTGAATCAATCTCGGGATTCACTTGTGTTTTATTTTTGAAGTAGTGTGAAAGATTTTTGAGGGATCTTTATGTTTTCTTTTGAAGAAGTTTGAAAGAGTCTTGCTGAGTAACTGCGGATCTTATTTTTGAAGTAATTTGAAATAATCTCGTGAATCCGTTTAGTTTTAATTATGAAATTGTTTGAAGGATTTTCGGGGAACCTTTGTGTCTGTTTTAAGAAGTTTGAAAAAATCATATGGAGTTCCCGTGGATCTTATTTTTGAAGTAATTTGAAAGACTCTCGGAGAACTTTTGTGTCTTATCGTTGAAATAATTTGAAGGAATCTCTAGGACTCCTTTTGTTTCATTTTTGAAGAAGATTGAAAGAATCTTGGGGAGTCCCTGTGGATCTGATTTTTGAAGTAATTTGAAATAATTTCGTGGATCCGTTGAGTTTCGTTTTTGAAATTGTTTGAAGGATTTTCGAGGGACCTTTGTGTTTTTTTTTTAAGAAGTTTGAAACAATGTTATGGAGTTCCTGTGGATCTTATTTTCGAGGTAATTTGAAAAATTCTAGGAGACCTTTTGTGTCTTATCGTTGAAATAATTTGAAAGAATCTCTAGGACTTCTTTGTTTCATTTTTGAAGTAGTTTAAAAGAATATCTGGAACCCTTTGTATTTTGTTTTCGAAGTTCTTTGAAATAATCTCGGGATCTTCGTGTGGCTCTTGTTTTTGAAGTAATTTCAGATAATCTCGGGGAATCCTTGTGTTTTGTTTTTGAAGTAATCTCTGGATTCCCTTGTGTTTTGTTTTTGAAGTAATTATTTAAAAGATTTTCGAGGGACCTTTATGTTTTTTTTAAGAAGTTTGAAAAAGTTTTCAGGAGTCCCTGTGGATCTTATTTTTGAAGTAATTTGAAATAATCTGCTACATCCGTTGTGTTTTGTGTTTGAAGTGGTTTGAAACAATTTAAACACTTTGCGAGTTTTGTTTTTGAAGTGATTCGAAAGAATCTCGGAGACTTCTTATATTTTGTTGTTGAAGTAATTTGAAGGAATCTCTAGGACTTTTTGTGTTCCGTTTTTGAAGTGGTTTAAAATAATCTCTGGAACCCTTTGTATTTTGTTTTTGAAGTTGTTTGAAATAATCTCGGGATCTTCGTCTGGCTCTTGTTTTTGAAATCATTTCAAATAATCTCAGGGATCCCTTGTGTTTTGTTTTTGAAGTAATTTGAAATAATCTCGGAATCTCCTTGTGTTTTTTTTTTTTAGAAGTTTGAAAGAATCTTGGAAAGTTCCTGTGGATCTTATTTTTGAAGTAATTTAAAGTAATCTCGCGGATTCGTTGTGTTTTGTGTTTGATGTAGTTTGAAAGAATTTCGGGAACTCTTTGCGGTTCTTGTTTTTGAAGTTATCTGAAAGATTCTCGGAGACTTCTTATGTCTTGTTGTTGAAGTAATTTCAAAGAATCTCTAGGACTTCTTGTGTTTCGTTTTTGAAGTAATTTGAAAGAATCTCTGGTACCCCTTGTGTTGTGTTTTTGAAATAATCTCGGGAACTCCGTGTGGGTCTTGTTTTTGAACTAATTTCAAGTAATCTCGGGGATCTCCTATGTTTGGTTTTTGAAGTAGTTTGAAATAATCTCGGGCTCCTTTTTATTTTGTTTCTGGAATAGTTTGAAGGATTTTCGGGGAACCTTTATGTTTGTTTTTTAAACAAGTTTGAAATAATCTTGGGAAGTCCCTGTGGATTTATTTTTGAAGTAATTTAATATAAACTAGTTGATCCCTCGTGTTTTGTTTTTGAAGTAGTTTGAAAGAATCTCGGGGACCCCTTGTGGGTCTTGTTTTTGAGGTAATGTGAAAGAATCTCGGGGACCCCCTGTATCTTGTTATTGAAGTAATTTGAAAGAATCTCTAGGACTTCTTGTAACTCGTTTTTCAATTAGTTTGAAAGAATTTCGAGGATTGCCTGTGAATCTTATTTTTGAAGTAATTGAGAATCTCGGAGACCATTTAAGTCTTGTTTTTGAAATAGATTGAAAGGATCTCTGAGTTCTGTTTTCAGAATCTGCTGAACTAGCGCGGAAAAAATTTAGAACTGACCCTCGAACAGCCTAAACTTTACTTACACCATGGTTACTGGGGCCTCTGGAAAATTCGCCTTTAATGAATTTATTCATAACCTCACTTTTAAGGCCGTTTTAAAACTAAAAAAAGCTGCCAAATTTCCATAGAAGACGCACGTAAATATCATACATATGTATGTAGAGGCCAGAAGAAACTAGCTATTAGTTCCTTAACGTAAACACCCGGATTAATCTAAAAAAATTCTAGTATCTATTAAGAATTTAATTGCTTCAAAAAAATTTGGCTTCAACCAATTAGTTCAGTGAATGTAGAGATGATTTTTTGTAAATAACATATTTATTGGGCAGAGACACACATTCTTAACTTAAGCGAAAAAAAATCAACTATCTATTGGCAATGTAACATGTACACATATTAACCAACAAAACCTTCAGAATTCTTAAAAACCAACATAAAAAGGATATCATAGAAAAAAATGTGCGTTTAAATATATGTAAATACGCACATTTAGCATATCACGTTGTGCTTTAGTATAACTCGTTTATCGTGCAAGATCGGTATAAATTGAAATTCTACTAGAAAAATTTTAGTTGCTGTCCTCAAACCTTAAACATAGTGCTACAATGAGACCCCACATTCTCTTGGTTCTTTTAGTTACACTAACAAACTGTTCAATACGTAAACCCCCCAAGCTTAATTCTCCACTTCTCTCACAAAAAAAATATTTCAGCGCCAAATTTCAAGAAATGCTTCCGCAAAGATCCGAATTTCAAGAACTGTATTCTCGAAGCCGTGCAGTCTGGCATCCCACAACTCACTAAACCCTTCAAATCACTAGATCTTCCAAACTTGGAGCCTTTTGAGGTCCCTTTACTAACAGTACGCGATAAAGGCGGCGCCGTCGCCCTGAATCAAAATTTCAAAAACTGCGTCTTCTATGGACTAACAACAATGAAAATTCAGGACTTTGAGTATGTAAACTTCGAAATAAAGTATTCCATTAATCCGCTATTGCAGCCTAGATTTCGAAAAGAAAACACTATTTGTGGACAGCGTTGTCCCAAAAATGGTATTCAAGTGTCATTACCAACTGGAGGGTAAGGTGCTGGTGTTACCCATCAAAGGTGACGGCAACAGCACCATTAAGTTCAGTGAGTATTTGTGATTTTTTTTCATTCGGGTTTTAATTTTCTTTGTAGCGAATTTCCGTTTAAAGTTTCGTTCTTTTTATGACGAAATTGTGAGAAATAGTAAGACTTACTACACGACAGCTAGCACGGAAATGCAGTCGGATGTAGAACACTCTCATTTTCAGTTTGATAATCTTTTCAATGGAAATAAAGAGCTGGGTGATAATGTTAATTTGGTGCTTAACGACAACTGGAGACAAGTTGTGGACGAGCTGCATCCCGAGTACAACGAAATTGTGAGGCAAATATTGACGGGGATGATTGAGAAAGTTTGGACGAAGGTTTCTTTGGAGGAAATGTTCGATTGATAAGTTGAAACCAAGAGTGTATGAGTATTTTTTAATAAAGATTTATGTAATTGTTACGCAGCAGTCAATTCATTTTTTCTTTTTTTTTGTCTCTGGATTTCTTCAGTCTATAAACAACCCCTGAAGTCAAGCGGCTGAATTAAGCCTTACAATAATTACAACAGAGGAAGGAGTAAATCCTGATCAACAGAAAGAAGAGGATCTACTAAAGAGGATTAAAAATTAAAAATTTGAGAAACCGAAAAGTCAAAAACTTAAAAAATCGAAAAACTGAAGAACTGAAAATTCGAAATTTTGGGAAGTGGAGAAATGGGAAAATAAAACAATAGATTAATTGAAAAATCCGAAAACTGAAAATTTAGAAACATCAAAATTTGAAAAATAAAAAAAATTGAAGAAACGAAAAATCGAAAAATCTAAAATTTCAAACATTGAAAAGTTAAAAATGGAGAAATCTAAACATCAAAAAATCAAAAAAATTGGAAAATCGGATAATTCAAAAATCGAAACATCGTAAAATTCAAAAACTGACACAACGAGGACTCAAAAAATCGAAAAACAATTAAGAAACCGAAGTAAGCCAAAATCGAAAAATCGAAAAGCTAAAAATGGAAAAATTGATAAAAAAACTGAAAATCCAAATACCAAAAATCGGAAAATCCAGAAGTCGAAACATCGGAAAGTCGAAGAATCGAAATATTGAAAAATCTCAAAACTGAAAGAAATATCCAAGAATTAAGGAATTAAAAACTTGGAAAATTGAGAAATCGAAAAGCCAAGTCGAAAAATTGCAAAATTAAAAAATCGAAAAATTGAAAAATCAAAAACCTGAAAAATCGAAAAATTGAAGAACTGAAGAACTGAAAATTCGAAAGTTTGGGAAGTGGAGAAATGGGAAAGTAAAACAATAGATTAATTGAGAAATCCGAAAACTGAAAATTTAGAAACGTCAAAATTTGAAAAATTAAGAAATATTGAAGAACTGAGAAATCGAAAAATCTAAAATTTAAAACATTGCAAAGTTAAAATATCGTAAAATCAAAAAAACAAACATTCGAAAATCTAAAATTCAAAAATCGAAAAACTGAAGTCAACGAATCAAGAGATCGAAACTCGAAAACTAAAAAAATTGCAAAATTGAAAAATAGGATAATTCAAAAATCGAAACATCGAAAAATCGAGAAAATAGCAACATCATAATTTAATTAAGGAATTAAAAAATTGGAAAGTTGAGAAATCGAAAAATCAAAAGACCGAAAAATCGAGGAGTCGGAAAAACGAGAAGGTGAAAAATCGAAAAATTGAGAAACCGAAATAGGCTAAAATCGAAAAGTTAAAAATAGAAAAATTGATAAATCGAGAGATTGAACAATCGAAACATCGAAACATCTGAATTTCGATAAATCGACATCTCAAAAAATTGAAAAATTGAAAATTAAAAAATTCAGAAAATTGAAAAATTAAAATATAGAACTGGAAACTCGAGAAATCGAAAAATCTAGAAATTTAAAAATTGAAAAATTAAAATATGGAAAAGTTGAAAATTTGAAAAATTTAATATAAAACAATCGAAAAATTGAAAAATCTAAAGTTTAAAAAACGAAAAACTGAAAATCCAGAAATTAAAATCGGAAAATCGAAACATTGAAAAATCTCAAAACTGAAAAATTTAATTGCTCCACAAATGGAGCAATTAAAAATTGGAAAATTGAGAAATCGAAAAACCATTAAAGCGAAGTCGAAAAATCGAAGAATTGAAGAACTGAAAAATCGAAACTTTGAGAAGTGGAAAAATCAAAAATAGATTAATTGAGAGATCGAAAGACTAAAAATTTAGCAACGTCAAAATTTGAAGAATTGAAAAATAGAAATACTGAAAAAGAAAAGTCAAAAAATCGAGAAATCGAAAAATCTAAAATTTTATTATTATTATTATTATTATTATCATACTTTGAGCTGAGGCAGTGCCTATTAAGCTCACGATTTTACTAAAACAGAGAAATACAAATTGTAATCAGCGTAATTTACAATGGCGACAATTTATTATCTTCTGTTAATGTAGCTTTGCTTTGAATGTGTTGATACTATGAGAATTAATAGCGTTTGCGGGTAGGGCATTCCAGGCAGTAAATACTCGATTACTTAAAAAGTTTTCCCGGATCTTGCTTTTGTACTGATTATGACGCAATTTTAAGCTGTGACCACGAAGACGTTCGTCACTGTTGATGTTAAATAAAGGTGACAAGTCGACCCCAAGATAACCTTTCAAAATTTTAAATGTCCAGACTAAATCGTTTCTGGATCGTCTTTCGGACAGAGTGCAAAGTTTTAGTTCTTGGAGCCTCTGAGAATACGGAAGGTTATGTAGGCTGGCGACCGTTTTGGTTGCGCGTCTTTGAGCTCGCTCTAATAACTCAATGTCTTTTTGTAAGAAAGGACACCAGACAACAGATGCGTATTCCAACAGAGGTCTAACATAAGATTTATACAATGTCAGAAATGACTCCTTCGATAGACTTTGGAAGGCTTTTCGAAGCAGATACATCGTAATGTTTGTTTTTTTAGCAGTTTTTAAAGAGTGGTGCGACCATTTGAGGTCGCTTTGAATCGTGATACCAAGATCTACATACTTATCAACCGCTTTGATGAGATCGTTGCCAATACGATAGTTTAAACATGGATTTTTTGCACCCAGATGAAGAATGACGCACTTTTCTTTGTTAATAGGAATTAGCCACAGATCGCACCATTGTAGCACAGTATTTAGGTCTTCGATTAGGATATTATAACTGCTATTGGGATAGTTAAAAATTTTAAGATCATCCGCATAAAAGGCATGATCTGATTTTAGAAGACGACTTAAATCAGATATATAAAGAACAAATAAAACAGGCCCTAGGACGGATCCCTGAGGAACTCCGGATTTTACAGCATAATTATTGGATAATGAATCACCAACTCTGACGTAAAAGACACGTTCAGATAGGAAAGCGGATATCCACTTCAAGAGATTACCCTTAATACCTAACTCTCTCAGTTTGTGTATTAGCCTTCGATGAGGAACTTTGTCGAATGCCTTTTGAAAATCTATATAAACAATATCAACGGAATCACCACGGTCAATAGCTTTGGTCCATTTATCTAAACAGTATAGAAGGCATGTCTCAGTGGAACGACCAGGGAGAAAGCCATGTTGTTCGTCAGGTACTATACCTTCATGAATAGCAAAATGAATTATTCTTTTACACAAAATTCGTTCCATTAATTTACAGCAAACTGCAGTCAAACTTATAGGACGATAGTTTTTACGGTCAGTTTTGTCACCTTTTTTAAAAATGGGTGTGACAGAAGATTTTAACCAGTCGGACGGTAAAGAAGTTGAAAGTAAAGACTGGGACATTATGTGAGCAAGAGGCTTGGCTAATTGCAGAGCATATTTTTTTAAGAAAGAACCACAGATATTATCAGGACCAGGGGCACTATGTTCAGAAAGGTTCAATAGCTCACAATAAACTATAGCTTCATTTATTTCTATAGTATCAAGATACGATGATGTCGGGGGAGAACTAGGTAGATTTTGAGAGTCTTCACTGGTATATGTACTGGCAAAAAATTCTGCTAGTATTTCAGCCGATTCAGAGTTGGATTTAGAACAATAACCATCGTTGTTTTTACAATTTAAAACATTGAACGATTAAAATATTTGAAGAATCGAGAAATACAGTTCAATTTAACATTGAAAAATTGGAAAATTAAAAAGTAAAATGTCGAGAAATAGAAAAATCCAAAACTCGAAAATTCGAAATACCTACTAAAAAATCCCAAAACTCAAATATCTAAAAACTAAACTTAAAGTTTAAAAAACGAAAAACTGAAAATCCAAAAATAAAAATTTGGAAAATCCAGAAGTCGAAACATCGAAAAGTCGAAGAATCGAAATATTGAAAAATCTCAAAACTGAAAGAAATATCCAAAAATTGGGGAATTAAAAAATTGGAAAATTGAGAAATCGAAAGCGAAAATAAAGGAAGTCGAAAAATCGAAGAATTGAAGAACTGAAAAATCTATACTTTGAGAAGTGGGAAAATCAAAATTTGAAAAATCGAAAAATAGAAATACTGAAAAACTGAAAAGTCAAAAAATCGAGAAATCGAAAAATCTAAAATTTAAAAGATTGAACAATTAAAATATCGCAAATTTGAAGAATCGAGAAATCCAATTTAATTTAATAAATTGAAAAATTGGAAAATTAAGAAATTGAAAAGCCCAAAAGTAAAAAATCGAAAAGCCGGGAAATCCAAAAATCGAAACATCAAAAAATTCAAAAACTGAGACATCGAGAAATCGAAAAATCAAAAGATCGAGAAATTGACGAGGCGGAAGCCGAAAAGAAAATTTAAAAATTGATAAATTGAGAAATCAAAAAATTGAATAATAGAAAAATTTTAAAAAAGAAAAACTGGAAAATCAAAAATTAAAAAATTCGAAAAACTGAAAAATTGAAATATAGAAGAACTGAGAACTTGAGATATCGAAAAATCTAGAATTTTAAAAACTGAAGTAGTAAAACTTCGAAAAGTTGAAAAATTGAGAAATCGAAATATAAAACAGTCGAAAAATTGAAAAATCTAAAGTTTAACAATAAATGGCAAAATCGCAAAATTAAAAAAAGGAAAATCGGAAATTTAAAAATTTCGAAAATTGGAAAATTGAAATATAGAAGAACTCAAAACTCGAGAAATCGAAAACTTAATATTTTAAAAATTGACAAGTTAAAATATCGAAAAGTTGAAAAAATGAGAAATAGAAGCATAAAACAGTTAAAAAATTGAAAAATCTATAGTTTAAAAAACGGAAAATTGAAAATCCAAAAAGTAAAATGTCGAGAAACCGAAAAATCCAGAACTCGAAAACTCGAAATACTAAAAAACCCCAAAACTCAAAATATCGAAAAATTGAAAAATGGACGAAAAATTGAAGAATCGAAAAACTGAAAAATC